TAAAATGCACACAATAAAAATAAATAAATAAAATCGACAGCAAACATTTATTTATAGCAAACAATCCCTCAGATATGTTTGCATTGTAAATCTATACACATCATAAAAGTAAAAATGTGTGTATGTGTGTGTGTGTGTGGCTGGGGTGTCCACTTACACAGACAAGCCCCTGCCTCAACAAACAGCTATAGCTCCCACTAATCAGGGGACACCAAAGGCCCTTCTTCCAATGACATTGCAGGTTATAATGAGTGCCATGAACATGTACAAGAGCCCTGCCAATGTCCTCCACAAAACACAATTCTACTTACCATCCAAGTGAAGGCTTTCGTAAGGGGACAATTTCATTCTAGATTTTATGTGTTTCCTTCACCACAGACATCCCAGTGTTTCTTATTCTCTCAGTTGCTGTGGAATTTGCATAACCCCGCCCACTGCCTCTCCCTTAACACTTTCCTATTCTTTTCTATGGCACACAGCAAACAGAGGAACTGATCAGCAACTTAACATATTAGAGGTTTGGAGAGAATTCACCATGATTTATACGAGTTATGTACTGGGATGTATAGTTCACCTGCAATCTAAGAGCACTTTGAACTCCACAAACAATGGACCTGGAACTAACTTGGCACACAGAACCCCCATGACCAACAAAAATACTGGAGGTCTTTGGAGGGATTTATAGGAGTTGTAGTTTACCTAGATCTAGAGCACACTATGAACCAGACAATGATGAATCTGGACCAAACTTGGCATGCATACCCAATGTGCTCAAATTTAAATACTGGTAGATTTTAAGGGGAATTGGCCTGGGCATTTTGGAGTTGTAGGTACTGGGATTTATAGTTCACCTGCAATCAATGAGCATTCTAAACACCACCAAAGATGGAATTGGACTAAACTTGGCACACAGAGCCCCCATGACCAGCAAAAAATATTGGAGTCTTTCAGGGAAATTCACCTTAATTTGGGGGAGTTGTAGTTCACCTACATCCAGAGAACATGGTAGACCCTAACACCAATGGATGTGGACCAAACTTGGCACACACCCCTGATATGCTGAAATTTGATTACTGGAGAGGTTTGGGGGGAACTGACCTTCCTTTCTGGGAGTTGTACTTCACCTACAACCATGGAAACTGTGACCTCCACCGGTGATGGACCTGAAACAAACTTGTCACACAACCCCCATGACTAACTCAATCTATTGGAGGGGTTTGGGGAGACTGACTCACCATAGTGGGAGTTGTAGTTTACCTTACAGCCAGAGAGCACACTGAACCCCACTGATGTTGCATCTAGAGCAAACTGGCCCAGCATAACAAACTTTAAGCACTGATGGAGTTTTTCGGTGTTAACCTGGCATGATGTGAGTTGAAGTTCACCCACAACCTTATGCATTTTGTACAATTAAAAAACTAAATTTTTCAAATAACCTGGGCTATGCTGGGTACTCAAGCTAGTAAAACAAATAAATAGGTTCTGAATCAAAGACGAATCAGATCAATGTTACACACATGTCATTTTTTGTTATTTTACTAACTTAGGGATTATTTATTTATTTATTTGACTTGTATACCGCTACTCCCAATTTGGCTCGGAGCGGTTTACAGCAGTAGATTAAAACGATCAAGTAACTTTAAAATACAATAAAAACAAGAACAGGCATAGTCAAACAAATGGCGCAGGTATTGAATAAAGAGGAAAGAAGCAAAAGTGTGTACTACTTTATATCATTACATAATGTATGTTATCTGTGGGTTGATCACGGCCAGGGCATGGGAACATTACATTTGTGGATTGCATCTCCTAGAATCCTCTAGCCAGCATGACCAATGGCTATTTTGTATGGCTGATTCAGAGTTTTTGGCCTCCCCAAAAAAATTGTCCAAGTTCTGTTCACTGCAGGAAATAGTTTTCAGAGGAGAGGAACCAAAATAGCAGTTAGTTTCACACAAACAGACCAAGGGCCATCACTTTCTTTTTTCTCCCTTGAATGCTGTCCAGGGAAAACAGCTACAGACAGAGAATAGTTTTGAGAGGAGAAAAATCTTACCTGGGGTAGATTCTAATCTGAACTTTAAAGGAGATATTTAAGGGATGGGGACTGGAAACTTGGATGATGGTGTTTTTTTTTGTTTGTTTGTTTGTTTTGTCATGTCAGGAGCGACTTGAGAAACTGCAAGTTGCTTCTGGTGTGAGAGAATTGGCCGTCTGCAAGGACGTTGCCCAGGGGACGCCTGGATGATTTGATGTTTTTATCATCCTTATGGGAGGCTTCTCTCATGTCCCCGCATGAGGAACTGGAGTTGATAGAGGGAGCTCATCCACCTCTCCCCGGATTCAAATCTGCGACCTGTCGATCTTCAGTCCTGCCGGCACAGGGGTTTAACTCACTGTGCCACCGGGGCCTCCATGATGGTGGTGATATTGTTGTTGTTGTTATTTAGATCCTGCATTTTTCCCAACGGTGTGACCTAGCATGGTAATTCGTAGTGTCCGCTCCATGAACTTCTTCCTTTACTAGACCATATAGAATCCATAGTAATGTTTTTGTATTTGTGTTATTTTTATATTATAATTCTCATACGTCACTGAATGTAATGACAAAATCTGCAATTTTCATAATACTATAGCAGCAACAAAACCCACAGCATGTGCGTGTAGTGCCTGCAGGTGAAACAATGTCATTGTAATTGGGTAATAATGACAGATTTGACCAGGGCAAATGCACATTACAAGATTCAAAAAGTTGTTTATCATATCGTTTTAGTCTCGTGGCTGTACATATGTAGTACACGTAAGCTGGGCTTACAAAAATGTTTTTGAGGTTATAAGAACCACAACAGAGATGTTTTGTTTAAATACACTAAAAATATTTAAATTATTAGGATGGTGTCACATGGTGCTGTCCGTACCCTCCACATCCCCACTTGTCTCTAGTGATGTATGCATAATGTTGCATAAACAACAACAGCGTCTTTCTTTCCTGTCTTAAGCATATATTTGTTGTTGCCATGGATTGTAGGATGTGGCTGCAAAAATGATAGGGGGAGACTGTGGTGTTGTGTTGGATGTGGACCAGGGTGACCTGACCATATACTTTTGCTCAGCTGTACAGCTCACTGTGAGACTTTAGGTCAGTTATGATTTTCTTTCTAAACTACTGAGACTGTGGTGTTTGTAAGATAATACAGAAAGCTCGCATATGCCCAGCAAGAAGAAATGTGATACAAATAAGATGGAACGAGATGCAAGTGTGTGCTAGAGTCACGTTGCATTTGAAATGACAGTATTGCTATCCTTTTATTTAGCACTATGCTGTGTACACTGTGGATGCAGCAACAAAATTTTGAGCCATAGAGTTGGAAGAAACCCCCAGTAACCATCCAGTCCAACCCCATTCTGCTCTGCAAAGGTACACTATCAAAGCACTCCCGACTGGTGACCATCCAGGCTCTGTTTAGAAACCTACAAATAGACAGACTTGACTTTTGAATGTGAAAAGACAAAAGTAGGAAACATTGCTTATTGTATTGTCAAATCTTTTCATGGCCGGAATCACTGGGTTGTTGTGAGTTTTCCGGGCTGTATGGCCATGTTCCAGAAGCATTCTCTCCTGATGTTTTGCCCACATCTATGGCAGGCATCTTAAGAGGTTGTGAGGTCTATTGGAAACTAGGAAAAAGGGTTCAATACAGCATATTATTTGAGAACACAGAAATGCTGGACCACTCTAACAACTACCATGAAAATGAACAAAATCTGGCTACCAGTATTAAAAAAAACTATAAAATCATAACAGTAAATAAAGAATAACATTCAAAAACAGGGAATCCCAGACAAGAAACAATCAGGATCAGCTAATCACCTCCAAGAAAGTATTACCCCAGACAGTAAGAATCCAGACCTTGAAACTGCTAGACCATTCAATGCTAATCAAGGTGGTCAATTGAAACATTCACACCTACCTCCAAAAGACAAGAGTTCTTTCTCCCACTCTGGACATTCCACAGATATATAAACCCAATTTTCCTAGTTTCCAACAGACCTCACAACCTCTGAAGATGCCTGCCATGGATGCAGATGAAACATCAGGAGAGAATGCTTCTGGAACATGGCCATACAGCCTGGAAAACTCACAACAACCCATTGCTTATTGTATTGTTGAGGTAATTTTGCTTCCCTCGTTGCATAACTTTTGAAATGTATTATTTATTTATTATTTATTTCGAGGTTTTATATACCGACCCTCTCACCTTCAAAGAGGGATTTGGACCGGTTCACAACATGTGTTAACATACAAAGAATATAAAATAACAACACAATGCCACTTCATTACATGATTAAAATATCAGCACCATACACATTAAAACATTATCATCACAGTTAAAAGAGTCAAATCGTCCAACACCATCACAATCCCATTCATCATCCTCCTTCATGTGGGCAAAGAATTAAATCAGTTGTCAAATGCCGCGTTCCACAACCAGGTCTTTGTTAGTTTCCTGAACGTCATGAGGGAGGGGGAGTTCTGATCTCTAATGGCAGGGAGTTCCAGAGTCAAGGGGCCACCAACGAGAAGGCCTTGTCCCTCGTCCCCACCAGCCGTGCTTGTGCAGGCGGTGGGACCGAGAGCAGGACCCCTCCAGACGATCATAGTGGTCTTGATGGTTCGTAAGGGAGAATACGTTCGGAGAGGTAAACAGGACCGGAGTCGTTTAACTTTTTGCATCATTGTTCAAGGAAAACGACAGCAGCTTGTCACATCTAACTGCATTGCAGCTCATTACTTCTGAGCAATTTGGAAATCTGGCCTTTTCTAGAGTGGCCTTTCCTTGGGAAAAGAAAGAGGATTGTATTTCCTGTGCTTTCTAGATGGAAATATTGTTAAGATAGGAAATTACTTACTTTGCTCATGTCACTTCTTGTAGCCCTTGATTAGTATGACAATTTCCAATTCTCGTAAACTCCCTCTTCCTTTTTGTTTTGTCCTCTAGGGAAACAAAAGGAAAGAAACCAAGCTAGATGACTTCCTAAAAGGAGAGAAGATGTTATGTTGGGGATATTGGTCTTTTGGATATCCTGGGACAAGTAGTACCGTCCAGCCAATCATCCCGGAGCCTCGGACCAGCGGTTTCATTCATGAGAAGAGTGTGAAGGAAGTGGCTTGTGGTGGGAACCATTCCATCTTCCTGCTGAAGGATGGGGAAGTCTATACCTGTGGCGTGAACACCAAGGGACAACTAGGACATGAAAGGGAGGGGAGCAGACCAGGTAGGTTATTTCTGAGCACCTGAAACCAACCAACCGTTTTTGGTTCTGCTATATTCCTGTGATTGTTGCATGTTTACTATTTCTATATCTTCTTATCTTCAGGTTTATGCTTTTATTATACTTTCACTGTCAGCTGTAACGTTGTGGGAATCTGATATTTGAAGAACAACTGAGGTTAACCTGAAAGGAAAACAATGCAACAGTGACTAATACAGGGGCTTTCCCAGTGGTTCTCCGTTTCCTTATATTGGTGGTTTCTACTTAGCTAGATTAGGTCAAATTACTTTCTTTTTGAGCTCAAAGCAATCTTTGTTATGAGCAAGTAAGAAGGTATGTCAAAAGTTGTGCCTTGTTTGTATGATACTGTTTTTCCCTTGACTCTTTCAGATTTGCAGTGTAGCCTGTTTTGGTCGTTTTAGGACTGTTGCCAGTTTTATTTCTTGCCTGGATGCCTGAAAGAATGCAGTGTAACTAGTTATCTGTATTGATCTGTGCAGATTGTGGCTTTGCAACAAAAGTTGTAATAGAGATGTTGCATGGAAGCCTCAGACTTTGGGATTTTAAAGGCATTATATCATTCTCGAGGATTATTTGACATATTTTGGTATGTTTCAGGTGTAAACCTAGACTGTAGGTAGTCATGGTTCTTGCTGAACATACATATCTGTCTTCCCAGAAAATACAACTTGCTCCTTGCCTTTTTTTCAAGGAGGTAATGCTTACTAATGTGGCCAATCTTATCGTAGACATAAGAATGAGCAAAGTGGTTCACTGCTGGATTATAATTTTGCTGAACTACATGGTCCTTGTGGTCCTTCCACCTCTAAGACTCTGAGATTCTTGTTGGGCGAGTGGGCTTATTAACAAAAGACCCTCCTCATAAATGTACAGCAGAGTGACTTATTAGCAGCGCCGTGACCCAGCACCAGTAGCTCAAAGTAATAAAAAGAACAAAATACACAAAACAATGTTATCACTTCCATAGGAAGCTTTTCTTTATAGCAAGATAATATGGTTGCACTATTTACAAGAACAAGGTTTCCATAATACAAATAAAGTTCTTTATACTTTCTTCTTTGCTTCCATGCTGGGCTTCTTTCTCATGCAGAAAAACAGCTTCACTCTCACAGAGCCTCTTCTCACACCAAAGTTGCACAGGAGCGTCACACAGTAGCTTTTTACACACAGCAGCCTTCACACATGATGGCCTTCAACCTGGGACTTCTCTCACTGAAGCTTCTCARATCAGACCTACTAATACTGAGGCCTTTCTCACATTYAGGCCCTCTCACACTGAGGGCTCTCTCAGACTGATGCCTCCTATYTACTGAGARYAAKTAACACTGAGGCCTTCTCKTTCTGAGGCCTARTAACACAGTGAGGCCCTTCTCCTACAGCGASCTSTCACAGACTGAGGCTACTAAGCTACAGGCACAGCTTCACTCTCACAGAYCCTCTTCTCACACCAAAGTTGCACAGYAGCTTCACACAGTAGCTTTTTACACACAGCAGCCTTCACACATGATGGCCTTCAACCTGGGACTTCTCTCACTGAAGCTTCTCATATCAGGCCTACTAATACTGAGGCCTTTTTCACATTGAGGCCCTCTCACACTGAGGGCTCTCTCAGACTGATTTCTCCTATATACTGAGACAAGCTAACACCGAGGCCTTCTCATTCTGAGGCCTACTAACACAATGAGGCCCTTCTCCTACACAGACCTCTCACAGACTGAGGCTACTAAGCTACAGGCACACCTGCTTATATTGAACTGCAGCTTTTGCTGAATTATTGCATACATTTAACCCTTTCAGTGCTTGATTCATATTCTTGTAATGAAAAATATCTAGTTATTTTTAAATATTTCTAACAATTCAGTGATTCTAGGATTGATGCTGTAGATTTAAAAACACATATAATTTTAGTTTTGATTACTTAATCAGAGAACTAGGAGAAGTGGATGAACATCTGAAAGTCAGTTGTGCTGCATTGGTGTGAGCATTGAATTGTGATTCTGGAGACCCACTGAATGAACTTGGGCAAGTCACACACTCTGAGGCCCCAAAAACCCTGTGAAAGTTTGCTATAAGTTGGAAATGACATGAACAACCAACCTCAGCAACAAGTTTTACAGAATTAGAACAAATTCTGACAGAGTGTTGCTTAGGGAACACAGAAGTGAATAACTACAACAAATCATTGTTGAGTAATTGAGAATAGTTTCTGTGCCGATCTAAGCCTGACAGGGCCAGAGTTGAACAGTAATGGAAGTCTGGTCTGCAAGATACTAAAGAACAAATTGAATTTCCAGAGATACAAAAAGTCTCAGTCTTTCTCTATTGCAAAACAGATTTTGTTGGTAAAAGGGAAGATGGCATTTCAGAAAAGAACAGCCGATGTTCATTTGTCAAGTCATGTCCGTCCGTTTATGCTCTTCTGAAATTTCAAATAAGTCTTGTAAATGTTTAGTGACCACCCAGGCCCCTTCCACACAGTTATATAAAATCCACGTTGAACTGGATTGTATGACAGTGTGGACTCAGATAATACAGTTCAAAGCAGATATTTTGGATTATCTGCCTTGATATTGTGGGTTATATGGCTGCGTGGAAGGGCCATTAGTCACCACTCTATGGGTCTTCAAGAAACAAGCCTCCTGCTACTCAAGAATGCCTGCTGCTAAGGAAACTGTCCAGGTCCTGAATTAGTGCCTGGCTGCTGTGATGGTCTGGATGAGGGCGAACAAATTAAAGTTGAATCCAGACAAGGCTACTCTCGGTCCCACCACCTTTGCAGGCACGATTGCTGGGGATCAGAGACAGGGTCTTCTCAGTGGTGGTCCCTCGGCTGTGGAACACACCCTAGTGGGATTTGATTGGCCCCTTCCCTCCTGTCATTTCGCAAACAAGTGAAAACTTGGCTTTGGGATCAAGCATTTGGCTTAGCATAATTATCTGTGCTATACAGTGGGAATTGACCTTGGATTGATGAATATGATTATTTGATTGTCTGGCTTTGGATCTTTACACAATGGTCATCTAATGTTTACATATGTTTAATGTTGTTTTAAATTGTTGCTTAATTGCATTTAATTTTTATTGTTATTTGGGCATGGAATAATGCCAATTATGTATGTTGCCCCAAGTCCTCTTCGGGGTGAGTGATGAGTGTGTGGTATGGGTTGGACACTTTTCATGCTGTGTCACCTCCCATCCCATTGATTGCAGTTTCTGTTTCTCTTTGGTGCTTAAAAATAAACCTGGTGTAATCTAGCTGGAGTCTATCATTTCTCAGCTGACAAAGAAAGAAGCTCATTGCATCTTGTTGCTATGCCTTCTTGTTTTCGAAAGCTGTCTGTGCTGGAAAGAATGGCTTGAGAGCAGAAGCACTGATGTAGACTAATTATGTCTGGTGAAACATGCACCTTGCGCTATAACACATCTTCCAAAGTACTCGTAAATATCATTAATTTAGATAAAGCGAGGCATGTTGTATCCTTCATCAGCTAGACAGCCAAGAAAGTGAATGATTTATGAACTGAAGGGCTGGCCTCATTTTATTTCTCCTAGCTTTTCTTCAAAGAGCCTGAAAAGTATTCTGTTCTGGAGTTTTCATCTTAGGTGCCTGTGGGATTCCTGTGTCCCAACATTGTCGTGACATAAAATTGGGCAGGCTGTTGGATCCTAAAGCCCATACCATTCAGAAAGGAACTTTCCCATCTGCCTGTGAATTTTCCCTATCTCTGCTGCTGCTTGAATTTGAAAATGGAGTATTTTCACTTTAAAAGTACTTTTCAGTCTAACAAAATCCTAACAGGAATGGCAGTTTCTTTGCTGGGCACCATCTGGACAGAAGCCTTTTCCGTGTTTCCCGTTGTGTTCCTCGCAAGCTGAGGTCTTCCTTTGGGAACTGGGGCATCTCAACAGTAGAACATGTGCTTTGCATGCTGAGGACTCCTGTTTCTGTTCAAACATTTTTAAGCCTCTCTGGGTGCCACTGTGAATTGGGGACAAATTGGTGGGGGAAAGGACTACCCAGGACTGATGTGCAGGTAATCCAGGACAAACACTCATTCATTGATGTCCCAGTGAGAAAGAATAGTGTTTGGAAAAGTACATTTGGACTGCTTCTTTGGCTGAGGGATTCTGGGAATCACAATTTTTTTCAGGCCTTGGATCAGTTTAGCTTAAGTTGCAGGATGTGTCCAAGAGAAACCTCTTGCTGACCACAGCAGTTTTTAGCAATGCAGATGATTATCTGGAAGTCTGGATGATCCTCCCTCGCCAGAGGTATAATAATAATAATAATAATAATAATAATAATAATAATAATAATAATAATAGTAGTAGTAGTAGTTTTGGAGCACAATACCCCTGACCTCATGATCGTTTTGAAAGACAAAGTATGGATTGTCAATGTTGCAATCCCAGGTGACAGCAGGATTGGAAAAGCTGACACGATATAAGAATTTAAAGATCGAACTGCAAAGACTCTGGCACAAGCCAGCAAAGGTGGCCCTAGTGGTGATCGGCACACTGGGTGAAGTGCCTAAAGACCTTGGCTTGCACTTAAACACAATAGGCGCTGACAAAATTACCATCCGCCAGCTGCAGAAGGCCACCTTACTGGGATCTGCACGCATTATTCGCCGATACATCATACAGTTTCCGAAGTGTGATCCAATACAACAGCCAGCAGAGTGTCTGCTGTGGACTCATCTTGTGTTTCAAATAATAATAATAATCATCATCATCATCATCTGTCTCTTCTTGTGGGTAATAAGTCTGAATAACATTGATGCCAATGCAGCATGGAGAAGGTGAAAACTGCCAGGCAGTTCTTTTACAGCAGTGGTTCCCAACCTGTGGTCTGTGGATCACCAGTGGTCTGCAAGAACTAAAATATTGTTTGCGGTCGCATCGTTACTTCTACGGCTAATAACGCAGCCCAACCAAAATAAAAATAAAAATGTTGGTGTCTTCATTTTTAGGCCTGTTCCTGGGGTTATTTGGGGTGCTGATTCAGAAAATTTCATTGGATAAACCACATCAATTCTAGATTATTAAATATGGTTTTCTGTGGGCGAGCAGATGGTGATATGTTATATATCAGAAACTAGAGCTGAGATGGTATATCCAATGCCATTTTCTGAATCAGCACCTCAAATAACCAAGCTGAATCTGAAGTTGACCAAAAACTGATTCATAATCCTTTTGGTACTAACGTTGGAGAGTGATCAAGTTGTTCCTTATCAAAAAAAGGTTGGGAACCACTATTTTACATTGTCATTTCTATAAGGATATTCGATCTGTTTTTATTACTCCCATTGTACAGAAGATCCCATACAGAAATGAAGAATATTATTTAAAACATCTTATAGAAGATAGGGACCCATCGATCACTTATAGAGTGGCCAAGTTTTGTGTGGCAGGTGTAAAAGTTTGTGGATGGTTTTAGTGGACGAAGAGTTGGCTTTAGCACAGCAGGTTAATCACCAACTGCAGCTGCAGTATATCTTGCCAACCAAAAGGTTGTCAGCTCGAAGCCGGGTCTGGGTGAGCTCTTGACCTTCAGCCCAGCTCCCTCGCCCACCTAGCAAATTGAAAACAGCAATGTGAGTAGATGACTAAGCAAGGAGGTATTTTAGGCACTCAAACGTTTACAAACAAAGAAACTCTTTGGCGAGGAGATGGAGTGACAGCACCGCTCTGTAGCCGGAACCAAGTGCAGCCTCCAAATGATGAGAAAAATCCTATACCTCTATCTGTTGTATCTCATGTCATTGTATAATCGGCATTGAATGTTTGCCTTATATGTGTTCTGTGATCCACCCTGAATCCCCTTCAGGGTGAGAAGGGTGGAATAGAAGTACTGTAAATACTGTAAATCATTTTAACTTACTCATTTTATTTTTGTTTGAAGAGCTTCAAGCCTTTAAACATAAAGTTACCCATTCCTCCTGCTAATCATCCAGCAGTCGGTTGCTCTAGGTAGCTTTCTGATATTCTGTTTTCCTTTCTGGACTGGATACTTGCTGCAAAGCAGTTGAACTACTGGAAGATACAATATAAAAGGGGTGAGGGACAAGCTTTTTGCACGTGTGCATCTCTTGTGGTGTTACAGCCATCCTTCCCCTTCTTCTTCCATGTTAATAGGGCAGATGTAATTAAACAAACATGACTTCCACTGCCTGCTCTTGTCTGGCTCTGAGACTTAGCTGTCAGGTTTTAAAGCACGCTCTTTCAGATCTTTGGAAGTAAAGGAACTTCCTGAGTGCTTCTCCTTTCAGCTTGTATGATGCTCATTGAATACAGGGAGATCCTATAACCATGAAGGTAGCTGTTATTCCATTTGAATGGATGTATAAGTGGGATATATTAAAATTAAAGTTAACAAAAAGTGTGGCAGGGTAGACGTGAGTGAGGACTAAACTAAAAGTGCTCCCATTTATATTGACCTTGTTATTCGCAATAGTCATAGAATCATAGAATCAAAGAGTTGGAAGAGACCTCATGGGCTATCCAGTCCAACCCCCTGCCAAGAAGCAGGAATATTGCATTCAAATCACCCCTGACAGATGGTCATCCAGCCTCTGTTTAAAAGCTTCCAAAGAAGGAGCCTCCACCACACTCCGGGGCAGAGAGTTCCACTGCTGAACGGCTCTCACAGCAAAGTCTCAGCTTTTTCAACATTTTTGTGAATTCTGGTAACGGATAGTGCCACTATACACCCAAAGCCTGGAATTGTGAAGCCAATTTTGCATCTCAAGGAGAATTTTGGGTGACTGTTTTTTGAAGAATCACACTCCATACTGTGTGGCAATCTATTTTTAAATACTGAAGGGATTTTTCAAGGCAATTGTGATAAGATTGGAGGGTTTTTTCATCACCAATTTAAAATATTTTACATAAAATATTTTAAAGAAGTCACAAGTTTTTTTTAAAAAAAAATATTACCTTGACCTTGAGGGTACTGTTAGCCCTGTCCTTAATTGTTTTTATGGTTGTGTGGAGTTCTAGGAATTAAAAATGGAGTTCACAAAGGGAAAATATTCCTCTACTATTTGGCTATTTGGATCCTGACTAAATTGTACGTTCTGGAACTGAACTACAGCACTTCCTCCACTTAGGTGTCTAACCAACTTACGGTTGGTTAGGCACCTAACCAACTACACTATAGAATTAATGCAGTTGGATAGGAAGTGAAGCATGGCTGGAGCCAGGGCCACCTTGGCCACCTGCGGCTTCGAAGACTGTTCTTCCACCTCCAAGATGGCATTCAACATCCTAGATGTGTCAAACCGCTCCTGGTCATCTGGTGTCTCCTTGGTGGGCTCTGGCTCTCTTGAAAATATGTAGATGACTCTTGGGTTCATCATTGCCTCGTAGCGCTGGTCAATCTGGTGGGTGAAGTGTCCATGCCAGATGTTGACCACCTCTGCATAGAGCAGTGGATCTCAACCTATAGAATTAATGCAGTTGGATAGCACTTTAATTACTGTGCTCAATACTATGGGATCCTGGGAGTTGTCATTTGGTGAGACACCAACACTTTTTATTGGAACAGGCTAAAAACCTTGTAAAACTGCACCTTCAGACACCAAGCCTGGCTACCTCGGGAGGCTATTTCCACATGGGGAACGTCTTCTTCTGCCAGAACAGAGATGATGTGGCCAAGTCCCTCTATGCCAGTGGTTCTCAACCTGGGATCCCCAGATGTTTTTGGCCTTCAACTCCCAGAAATCCTAACAGCTGGTAAACTGGCTGGGATTTCTGGGAGTTGTAGGCCAAAAACATCTGGGGACCCCAGGTTGAGATCCACTGCTCTATGCAGAGGTGGTCAACATCTGGCATGGACACTTCACCCACCAGATTGACCAGCGCTACGAGGCAATGATGAACCCAAAAGTCATTTACATATTTTCAAGAGAGCCAGAGCCCACCGAGGAGACACCAGATGACCAGGAGCGGTCTGACACATCTAGGATGTTGAATGCCATCTTGGAGGTGGAAGAACAGTCTTCGAAGCCGCAGGTGGCCAAGGTTGCCCTGGCTCTGGCCATGCTTCACTTCCTGGTCCAGGGCCTGCCAAAGTCTCAGGAACTTGTGACAAAAGTCCAGCAAATCAGGAAGTGGCTGCCGAAAGCAGAGGCCAACTTGGCCCTTCATCACTTGGCTGAACTCCTGAAATATAAGCAAAACTATGCCAAATGAGAGAGGGCTTCGCACGTTCAGGTAAACGGCCACGACACGAGGAACTGCAGCCATCATTTTAGTTCAAAGTGTGGTTCCTCATTCCAGATCATTCCTGTCGTCTTATTGGAAAATTTCCATGGTTCTAATCCAAAATTATCCAGTGACAAAACGTACTTGTCTGATTATCATTAAATTTTATTATTATTATTTAAATAAAACCTTGTAAAACTTCAACTTCATGCTTCTATAGCATTAAGTCATGGCAGTTAGTAATATCCAATTGCATCAGTCCTACAGAATAGATCAGTGGTTCCCAACCTTTGGGCCTCCAGGTGTTTTGGACTTCAACTCCCAGAGATCCCAGCCAGCTTACCAGCTGTTAGGAACTGTAGGAGCTGAAGTCCAAAACACTTGGAGGCCCAAAGGTTGGGAACTACTGGTATGGATGCACCCATGAACAAAATTGAGATGAGCTTTTTTTTTAAAGGTGATTTTAAAAGTTGATGGGCTGATTGTTCTTTATTTTCTTCCCTTCTGCTTTGCTTTGAGTGTCAGCCAATGGGTAGCAGGTGTTTGGCTGGTGTGACATTTTTTTCTTGTCTTCCCACAGAGCAAATTGGAGCACTAGCAGATCAGCACATCATCCATGTTGCCTGTGGGGAGTCTCACAGCTTGGCCCTCAGTGACCAAGGGCGGCTTTTCTCTTGGGGCGCTGGCAGTGATGGCCAGCTTGGCCTCACAACAACAGAGGACTCAGTGGCTGTGCCAAGGTAATCATAATGCAGTGGGCCCTTAGTATCTACCAGAGTTTGGTTCCTGGATACCCAGATCCGTAAATACTCAAGTGCCATTTTATACAATGGTCTAGTAAATGGCCCCATATATAAAATGTTAAAAGCAAGTTTTGTTTTGAGGCATTTGGTTTTGAATATTTTCATTCCATGGGTGGTTGAATCCATGGATACAGAATCCAAACATATGGAAGAATGACTGCAATGGATTTTCAGGTGCTGATTTTCCCCCTTAGTTTCTCCCATCCTAAATCTGTAGCAGGGGGTCTTAGGTACCAATAAATTACCCACCTGTTTGCAAATATTTGGGGTGGAAGTGATATTCAGCGGCCATGCCCCATGCTAACTGCACATTGGACTAAATGAAGGAGCCTACATTTAGAACAACCGCTTTGAGTCCCCCTCGGGGTGAGAAAAGCGGTATACAAATACTGTAAATAAATAACATACAAACCAGATGTGGTGGGAGGATATTGAACCCATAAGATAATCTCTCGTCTTTTTTTGATGTTTTTATCAAACATTTTCAATTTTTCCACACAAATGGGGGATGGGAAAGTCAGGAGAAAAAAAGAATAAAGAAGTAGTGGAGTCACTGTTAGTAAATTAAGACTTTACAAATAAATATCTATTGTGTAACAGAGGGAGGGGGAGGGAATCAAAGGGAGTGGGTAAAATTGATACATTTCTTCATATCAGTTCAATTACATACATTACCCAAAGTATTAAAAATTCTATATATCCTCTATAACAAAGTGAGGAGAAATATTGTCCTCCAACTTTAAGTCTGATTTTCGTATCCTCTTGGATTATCCTATGCTATTCCTGTATTCCCCCCATCTCTTCACCATTCATCTTCATTATTCATATCAGATTGTTTGTTTTTAAACCTTTTATCTAATTTTAGTTATTACCTAATAAATCCAACAATTTAATTTTATCTGATAGTAAATTAGTATTGTGTAGGCAAGAATTTACTATATTTTGCTATCTTTTCTTCCCCTTTTAAACATTACACAAAGTTTATGTCCAAGTTCTGTGCTTGATACATGAAAGGCTTCTATCTGTGCTTTCTGGTTGGTCAGTTGTTGGTTTAAGGAGTTACCCATAGAGATTTGCAGTCTTTTTGCATATTTTAAAGTGTGAAGATCCAACTGAATCTCTCAGCAGCTTGGGTGGGGTTTCTTCATCGTGCTTCTTATTCTAGGTCAGTGGTTCTCAACCCGTGGGTCCCCAGATGTTTTGGTCTTCAACTCCCAGAAATCCTAACAACTGGTAAACTGGCTGGAATTTCTGGGAGTTGTAGGCCAAAAACACCTGGGGACCCACAGGTGAGAAGCTCTGCTCTAGGTGTAGACAAAGATATGTTGAACTCCATTTTCCAGCGGCTCCAGCCAGTATAGCCAATGGTGAAGAGTGCTAGGTGTTCCAGTTCACTTACACATGGAAGTCTGCACTTTCTTCACTTTTGCCATAGAGAATGCTTGCATCCACAAAGAATACCCAAAACTGCCATTTTTATTTAACAGAGAGGTCAAAAGCACACTTGTTTTAGTGGACCTTGTGCGGGTGCTTAAATGTGAGATGACAACTTCCGAAAACTATGTACAGTCATTGGTTCATTTTGCTTTACATCCTTTCATTTCTTGGGATTAGGTTGTGTTTGCAGGTTCTTGAAATGTGGCTGACTTGCTCTTTTGCTCATTGTCGTTAATACTATTATTAATAATATCCTCTTCACCTTCCACCACACACTAGGATACTTGGGGGGGGGGGGGGATCAAATTCAAATCTGCTGTTGCATTTATTTATAATGGTAACAGTTCTTAGATCCATATATATATATATATATATATATATATATATATATATATGATGAAGATGAAAGAGCTGACTGGGAGATGTTGAAATTATCTCATGTATTTCTTGGTTTGTAATTTGAATTGATATTATCTTATGTTTGAATGGCATCGAATTGATGTCAACTGTTAGCCGCTCTGAGTCCCTCTCTAAGTCCCTCTACAAGGGAGAGAGAGTAAATAAAGAAATAAATAAAAAGTAAATAAAAGCCAATTTGTTCTTCAGGTTAAATGATAAGTGAATAACAGTTTGCTTCTTCCACTTGTGATAGAAGCCTCTTAAATCTTTAGTTTTTTATAGTTGTTATATATATATATATATCTCCTAAATTTAATTATATCTGTTTATAATTATTTGTTTTTCTGCAATATTTTAAAAAGAATGTCAAAACTTTTTTAGACAAAGAGTCTGCATTCTATGCTGTTTAGTATAGTCCTGCTTGGTATGAGTATGATTTTAAATTGAATGTATTAGTTTGTATTTCTTTTGTTTTAAAAAATATTTATTTTTTTTCTATTTAGGTTAATAAAAAAGCTGAGCCAAGAGATGATACTTCAGGTCTCCTGTGGCAATTGGCACTGTTTAGCTCTTGCTGCTGGTATAGTATTATTGTTGTTATTGTTATTATTATTATTATTATTATTATTATTATTATTATTTCCAAGTTAACCAGTTAATGGCAGTAACACAGTTTTTATTATGGTTGTTCTGTATGTCTTTCCCCCCTCCAGATGGACAGTTCTTTTCTTGGGGACAGAACAGCCACGGACAGCTTGGATTAGGCAAAGAGTTCCCCTCCCAAGCCAGCCCTCAGCGAGTCAAATCGCTTGACGGGGTCCCCTTGGCTCAAGTCGCTGCTGGAGGAGCCCATAGCTTTGCCTTGTCTCTCTCCGGAGCTGTGTTTGGTTGGGGGAAGAATGCCTCAGGACAGCTGGGATTGAGCGATGAGCAAGGTACATTAAATTGCCATCCAGGGAAGTTTCTCTTTTGGAAGAGAATGGCTGTTGTTGAGATTATGCTCTGTAAGAGACCCATGTGTCTTTTAGTGCATGCTATAATGGCTTGACTAATGGTTCAAGAAGGGAGCCCCCAGTGGCGCAGTGGGTTAAAGCGCTGAGCTGCTGAGCTTGTTGACCAAGAGGTTGCAAGTTTGAATCCGGGGAGCAGCATGAGCTTCTGCTATCAGCCCCAGCTTCTGCCAACCTAGCAGTTGGAAAACATGCAAATGTGAATAGATTAATAGGTACCGCTCCGATGGGAAGGTAATGGCGCTCCATGCAGTCATGCCGGTCGCATGACCTTGGAGGTGTCTACAGACAACGCTGGCTCTTCGGCTTAGAAATGGAGATGAGCACCACACCCCAGAGTCTGACATGACTGGATTTCATGTCAGGGGAAAACTTTTACCTTTACCCTATGGTTCAAGATAAGAGCTTAACAATTCAGTGTTGGATTAGCACTCTGGAAGACCAGGTTCAAATCCCCACTGGTCCATGAAAACCAAGAAAGTCAGCAAAATGTCTTCTGTGGGAAAACTCAGGCCAAGATGTCTTCACTTGGCTGGAATATGTAGTTGCAGTTGTCGAATAGGCCACAAGGAAGACCATGAGGAAGGCTGGTCATTCCTCTTGATTGCTATGAAAATGTGATAATGAAGTATACTGAAGACTGACATCTTTAAGAAAGAAATTATATTTACAGCTGCTGAAATTTCTGGCAGGGCTTTTAGCCTACTGCTCATGCCAGTTGTGGCCTATTAAACTGGGACATTGATTGGACTGTAAGATCTAAGCGCTCTAGCCTTCAGAAGAGTATTTATAACAAATTGGATGAATATGTAGTTTTGTTACTTATATAGTAAAGGTAAAGGTTTCTCCTGCCATTAAGTCTAAGTCTAGTGTTTTTGAACTGCTAGGTTGGCAGAATACTTATATAGAAGGTTGGTTATAAACATTGCATCAACATTAACAGTTTTATAAATGAGGAGAATGAGGCTGAGAGAAAAATTATTGACCAGTGCTTCCCTGCAGGTTTTATTTTACCTATTTCAGTATTATTTTATACTCCCTAATGTAGATCGGGAATCTCCATGCCATGTGAAGCTCTTAAGGACTCAAAAAGTTGTCTACATTAGCTGTGGAAGTGACCACACTGCTGTCCTGACAAAGGTAAAAAAAGATAATCGTGCTTGATCTTTTACAGAGATGTAAGTAGGTGGGACGTTGCTTATATTATTCTTGCCCCTTTTTGTGACACTACTTTCTACTTTCATAAAAGAAGTAGTAATAACATATAGGGAAGAAAATACCCTAAGGCCTTGTTTCAGGTAGGGAAACATTAAAATTGACATGTCCCTATTTGCATTCTGAAGTGGTACATTCTGTTCCGAAGTGGACTCTGAAGCCTCTTTCTACCATATTCTGTTGCATACCTAGACCAGGTGTCCTTTCACACTCCTCAATTATAATACTATGAATCCACTTTTATTGCCATGGTTCCATTCTATGGAATGCTGGATTTGCACTTCAAGGAAGGTTCCATATAATTCTGACAGTAGGAGAATCAACTTATTTGAAATGTGGTTCTGCAGATAATATAGATTGAAAAATGACCAATAAATTGATCAAGATTTCCTAGAGGCTAAAATGACCAAATTGATAATGGGACAACTCTGGGCCCATAAGCTAATGGGATAATGGCTAATGGCCTGTTAGGATCATAACCTATTGGGATAAGGATGATGACCTGTTAGGATCACAACTCACTGGGTAGCAGAGTTATGGAGGTATTCCTTTAGTTTATTGAGTAATGGATGATCACTGGGCACATAGATATCTTGTTTCTATTTGATGCTCTCAGCAGACAAAGATTCAAGTAGACTTCTTTTAAAATAACATGTTTGTTTACTCATAACTTCATGTATTTAAATATATAGGCACATTTCTTATCAGGTTAAACTTTAAAACGTTTCAGTTCCTTTAACTTATTGTCTTTAACTGTCTCTTTAAAAACTATATTATTCTGTACAATTCTCTTTCATAAGAGTCTACTTTCAAAGAATTCAGGCATCAACAGATTTCTAACTTCCTATACTGACATCTGACAGAAAAACAGACTTCTGTACTCGAGCTGACTCAAGGCTCAACTGTCTTCTAACTTCTAACACTGACTTCTGTATTCTAAGTGACTCAAGGCTCAACTGTCATCATGTTTAAAATGCATTCTAAACAGTCATATGACCTGCAGCCCCTCTCACTGCCTTAAGTATATAGAGCTAAGGAAACTGCAAACCAAATAAGACATACACTTCAGGAAATAAAACAAGACATTATAAACAGACATAACATTAAATAGAGTAGGCTTGAGAAGGTTGCAATCTGCAACAATTGTATTGTAGTTTGGGCATATCATGAGAGAATATGACTTACTATAAAACACTGTAGAATTTGGTAAAGTGGGAGGCATCAGGGGGAAGATATATACTTAATCAAGGAAGCCATAGGAGATGAGCATGGTCACCGATGGTGGGGCATCTTGGAGGTCTCACATTCATTGGGTTACCTTAAGTCCAGGCTGGTTTGATGGCAATTAACAAAACTTAGACTTCTGCCAGAGAGATTGCAAATCCCAGAATTCCATAGAACACTGCCATAGCATTTGCAGCATAATCATATTGTTATAATAAGATGCAAAGGGACTCAGGCCTATTGTGCAGGCAGCTTGGTGCAGAAATGGGAGAAACTTTGTGTACAATTGGAAGTATCTTTGAAATTTCTTCTGCCACCAGTGATTTGGCTGAAGGTGCAAGCAATGATAAAGTAGGAGAGCTTGTTGTGAGTCCTGCTTTCTCTAAGTTAAAACGTTATTGTATGTTTGATTACAGACTGGAGGAGTGTTCACCTTTGGTTCTGGTTCGTGTGGGCAACTCGGTCATGATTCCTTCAATGACGAAATCAACCCTAGAAGAGTTTTGGAGCTGATGGGAAGCGAGGTGTCCCAGATTGCATGTGGTAGGTGAGTGATAGTGTATGTTTTTTCTTCATTGGTGTGGTGAGTGTCACAGTTGTTTGGACAATAACCAAGTGAAAATTGGGGTATGCAGAACTGTGAGGTCATAGATAATGGAATTACTCACTCTTTCATATATTCCCTCTGTAAAAGACAGTTCTTTATTTGGGTGGTTATTTTCAATTGTTTTTGTAACAAGCAGCTGGGATATTCTGCAGACATGGAACACAGAGCTTCAGATCAGTGTAAAAATTGCCCTATCTATCTGTCACTCCACTTGGGTTCTAAAAGTGGGTTTTAAAAAGTTCAACACTAAATAAAGACATCTTATATATTTAAGATTGTAACTTCCAGAATCCCCCAGATATTACTATCACTGTATCATTCTGGATGCTGGATTTGGGGGATGATAGTCCTGAAAGTATTTATAGGCTCTGAGAGAATGCATGGAAGAGTTCTGTTGTATATTGACTGTATTGTTGCCCTACGTTTCTGAAAGCGGTGCTCATACACATAATATTATTGTCATTTGCAGACAGCACACTTTAGCTTTCGTGCCTTCTTCAGGACTTATCTATGCATTTGGCTGTGGAATCAAAGGTCAGCTGGGATCTGGGCACACCTGCAATCTGAAATGTCCTTCTCCAGTCAAAGGTCACTGGGCAGCTCACAATGAGGCAATTTCTAGTAGAACTGGTAAGTGTGGGCACAACAGAGCAGGCTATGCTTAGATTTTGAATGATTCACGGAGGGCTGGAGTAGGCGCTTATGAAAGCTGAGACTGGTCTGGTTGCAATTAAGGCTGGGTATGGCTGCTTTTTACCTACTGCTAATACATACATCCTTTTTGAATCAATACATTTATAATGTTGTGATCTTACCACCACACTTCCAATTTGAGAATATTAAAAGAGCAAAATGGATCCCACTCCTAAACTTTGAGAGCCACCACATGGAGAGTTAACATGACAAAATACAGGGTGAGGCAGTATAACTTCTTTTTTTCAAATCTTAATAAAACCCATTGTATGAATCATATATTTTTTTTATAATGTAGGCGCATACCTAAAGTTTTGTTTTACTTAGTTTTGAAGATCAAATTAGGTAGGTGATGACCCCTATTCTCCATTCTCCATACACTGAGTAAACTGATGTCTGGCGTTTGTCATGACTCTTGCCAGCGTAGCAGGCATTACGCTGGCAATTTCTTCCTGCATGTTGGTCTTCAAATCTTATAGGGTCCTTGGATGGTTCACATAAACACGGGATTTCAAAAAACCCCATAGAAAAAATCACAAGGGGCCAAATCTGGAGAGCGGGCCGGCCACTCCAAATCTGCTCGAAAAGTAGGCCTCAATGGCAAAAGCACGCTCCTCACTGTTCCAACGCATGATGGCGAGTGAACTGTGCCAGGACAAAACTTTATACTCCCGCCTCTCAAATGAGACCACTAGCGCTCCACTACGTCTTCAACCGACTGTATGGCACACATTTTTAAAAAGGAAGTTATGCTGCCTCACCCTGTAGTTTGGCTGTTGGACCCCTCATTCTCCAAATGGCTCTTTTTACTCTTTTTATATATAAAGGCTATTTTGTGTTTTGGGAGTTCTTCGTTAAAAGGAAGTGTTTAAAAGTGGCATATCAAATGGGTTATTTGATTGGAGATGGTTAGCTTTCCTTTTGGCCTGATGAACATTCCTGAGAGGAAGTTGGCCTCTCTGAATGTTTCATGTCACATATCAGATGTAGCGTGGTATTATTGTGGCTCTGCAATTTCTCCCTTTCTTTTCCATAGTTTGAGATTTTCCATGTATTATTTATTTATTTATTTATTTATTATTCGAACTTATATCATAGTAGGCAACATGCAGACTTTAAATGTAGTTTATGAGTCATTACAAACTGACCCACACTTTTAGGAATTGATTTCAGTTTTGTTAGAACTATCCTCGTTTCTCTGTATAGTAATCCAACAAAAAGGTGGAAGGAATACTGGAATATTATTTTCTGAAGCATTAAAATGAAGCACAGCCATATAACTGTTGAAACAACCATATCTTTCTATCTGTACTGACAAACTATCCATTATGGAAGAACATGAAAACCTTCCTGTGAATTCGATCCTCAGTCATGCTTTCTTTTCCCCACATATCTGCTACAGAATTTGTGTATATGGATATAGTCACTGGCCGTTACGATTTCTGATGTCTGTAACAACAACAACAACAACAACAATTTATTTCTAGACCACCGTCTCTCCCCGAGGGGACTCAGGGTGGTTTGCATACATATAAAAAGGCAAACATTCAATGCCATTATTAGAACCACAGAATATCAAAAATGGGAAATAGACATTAGTAAACTGGTTACCAAAATAAAATTAAAGATAAAGTAACAAAATAGAAAGATACTTAAATAAAGCATAATTACACTAATAAAACATAATTGCACAAAAAATTCCCAGGTAATCAAACGGCTAAAATGTAAACAATGCCTGACATTGGTTGTCATTTAAAATAGACCTCAGCAGCTGTAAAGTGCTAATTAAATCCTTCTAGTCCTTCCCCTCTTCATACACCAAGGTGCATAAGTGTGTTTTCAGAAGTTTCCTGAAGGAGAGGAGGGTGGGGCCCATTTTTTTTTCTTTAGGAAGGGAGTTCCACAAGCAAGGAGCTATCATGGAGAAGGCCCCCTCTCTCGTTCCCACCAACTGCGCTAGTGATAGGGGTGGGACCGCGAGTAGGACCTCCTCCTCTGCAGTGCACGAGGTAGTCTATATAAGGAGATGTGGTTAGACAAATAGCCTGGATCCGAACCATTTAGGGCTTTATAGGTAATGATCAGCACTTTGTATTTAGCTCAGAAGTGGACCAGCAGCCAGTGGAGCTGCCGTAACATAGGAGTGATTCTCACCAATTAGTAAACTGGCTGCTGATCTTGGGACTAGCTGTAGCTTCTGAACTATCTTCAAAGGCAGCCCATGTAGAGCCCATGTTGCAGTAGTCCAAATGGGATGTAAATAAGACATGGACTACTATGATCAAGTCAGACATCTCAAGGTACAGGCATAGCTGATGCACAAGTTTTAACTGTGCGAAGGTGCTCCTGGCCACTGCTGACACCTGGAGTTCCAGGGTCATCGATGAGTCCAGGATCATCCCCAGATTGCAAATTTGTGCCTTCAGAGGAAGTGTGACCCCATCCAGCACAGACTGCAACCCAATACCCTGTTCTGCCTTTTGGCTGACTAGGAGAACCTCGCTTGTTGGCCCTCATCCAGTCCATCACTGATGACAGGCACCGGTTCAGGACCAGAATGGTCTCCTTGGCATTTGGTGGAAAGGAGTAATAGAGTTAGGTGTCATCTGTGTAATTATTGCATATCATTGTGTACTTGCCTACAAGACTTGTGTATAATTCAGATTGTGGTTGCTGTCATGTACATGGGCCATAGCTCAATGGGAGAGCAGATGTTTTTCATGCTGAAGATTGCAGGTTTAATCCCTGACTTTTCTGTATGAAGCCTGAATGAAGATATGGAAAACTGCCACCAATTAATTTAGACAATGCTGAGTTATGGGGACCAATGAATAGATTTTTTTCTACTTAGTATTTCTTCATAGTATACAAAATAAAATGGAGTTTTCATCTATGCTTCCTATCTCCATAAGGTTAGGAGAGGGAATCAATTGTTAAGTTTTCAAAGCAACAAAGAAAACAGTGGCACAAAATACATTTCTGTTCAGTCTTCGAGCTGTAATACGCAGACACAGGCCTGAAAGACTCATTAAAATCTGTCTTTTGTTACCTTATTAATTTGGTTTTTGTTATCTTAGTTTCCCAAGGGAAAAGAAGTAGGATGTCTGTGATTGCAGAGCCATATCTAATTGGTATCCATCTTCTTCAACAGATGCCTATAAACATTACATTGTTAAACATATCTTCTCTGGAGGAGACCAAACATTTGTACTTTGTTCTGAAAGAGAGGTAATATAAAGTCGTTATGTTACTGGTGACGTTTGTGTGTGTGGGAGAGCGTCATTTGTGAGCTATTGGGATGTTATTTGTCTGTTTGTTCTTTATGTTTTGTGAAATCCAGGAGTGAGATTCAACTCCCATACTACTGTGAACTCCATTTGCAAGAAAAATACAGTTGTAGCACTACAATTCTCCTTTAACTGTGGCTGCACCTCAAGGAATCCTGGGGTTTATAGTTTGGTGAGGCACTAAGGGTCTCTGTCTGAGAACTCTAAGTACTCCTCCCTAAACTGCAAATCCCAGATTTCATAGGACAGAATCATGGTAACTAAAGTGGAATCATAACCTTAAAAATATACACTTTGTAAGGACCTCAGGTTTTAGAACGCACTACTGCGGTGAATCTGAGATTTGAGTAGATTTGAAGAACAAGCATTACACAAAGAGAGCAGTATTAAACAGACTCTTGGAGAGAAATTTTTGAGAGTGACATATAACTTTTGTCAGTTAGGTTGGGCAACTATGGCTTCATAATATGTTTCAACTATAAACCAGCACAGGCAGTGGCAAAGGATTAGAGCAATGGTCCCCAGATTTTGCTACTCCAGATGCTTTGGACTTCAGCTCCCATAAGCCCCAACCAGATTGGCCAGCATTCAGGTATTCTGAGAGCTAAGTCCAGTACATCTGGAAGACCAAGGTGTGGGAATCACTGGAATAGAAGAATGGCTACAGCTGCCCACCCCTTTTGTGTAGGCCATGCAGCATTATGGGCTGCAGACTTGGCCTCTGTGTGTGTTGCCCATAATAGGAAGGAACCCTACACATATGAACCCATTTAGAGAAAATTACTTTCCACTGTTGGGAAGAAGCTATTTTACTGCCTGAGGCAAAGAATATAGTAGGGACCCTTATCCTATCTCATAAATGGAAACCAAATGGACTGTTAGTTGAATCTTAATTGGACAATGGGATGGATAAGATGTTCAACCTACACAGCTTTGTTTTCCAAAGGAAGAGAACAGCTCAGTTCAGCAGGAAATGTTGGATAGACACCCTACCTACCTCCAGTACTGGCACCCAAGGCTGTCACTTTACTGTTCCTAATGCAAAGCCATTGCTGCTTCCACACATGAAGAAAAGTGTCAGTGTTCTCCACCCATTTGATGAAATCATTATTGACCCCTACTTCATTTTACAGAATTCTCCGCCAGCTGATGATTTCCGGACTATTAATCAAAGTGATTATACATGTTCAATTAATGATGAAACGATAGATACGTGGAGACAAAAGCTTTCGGAAAAGAAGAATCCTAATTCAGTGAAGTATGCTCATTTCTCTTGGGCTTATCACACTGTACAGTATTGTTTTTATGATTTGTTTATGAATTTATGAATTGTTTATATTTATGTTTTATGATTTGTTTATGAATTCGTGGCTATTGTGCCAAGTAAGGTATCCCCTGAGAGCAATATTATTTTTCTGTAACTGGCTTGTATGTATATGTGTTGTATAGCTTTCTGCACCACTACATTCTGTTATTTTCTCAAGGTGGAAATTTTGTTGCTGAATTTCCACTTGAAATTCTTCAGCAGTTTATTACTACTGGACTAAAAACATTTGGTTTTTTAATTGTTGTGAGTGGTAGATACATATGTCAGATGTGTACATTAAAATATATACCTTGCAAATATCTCCCATGGTTTTTAACATCTATATGAAACTGCTGGGTGAGGTCATCTGGAGTTTTGGAGTTTGATGCCATCTGTACGCAGATGACATTCAACTCTGTTATTTCTTTCTACCAAATTCCAAGGAAACCCAACGAATCCTGGACCAGTACCTGGCAACTGTTATGGACTTGATGAGGGATAACAAGCTGAAGCCTAACCCAAACAAGACAGAGGTCCTCCTGTTCAGTAGTGATGCCGATTGGGGTATGGGGTGGCAACCTGTGTTCAGCAGAGTCACACTCCTCCTGAGGACACAGGTCTGCAACTTGGAGGTCCTCCTGGATTCAGCTTGATGCTCAGGTGTCAGTGGTGGCTGGGAGGGCTTTCTTACAGTTAAAGTTTGTGCGCCAGCTGCAACCATAACTTGAGAAGCCTGACTTGGCCATGATGGTCCATGACTTAGTAACATCCAGATTGGATTATTGCAACACACTCTGTGTCAGGCTGTCTTCGAAGATGGCCCGGAAATTACAACTGGTGCAACGGTCATCAGCCAGGCTTCTAACTGGAGCCAATCACAGGGAGCGCATGACGCCCCTATTAACATAGCTCCACTGGCTGCCAATAAGTTTCCGGTCGCAATTCAAGGTGCAGATTATGACGTATACGAAGCCCTAAACGGTTCGGGCCCTGCCTATCTTTGTGATTGCATCTTCCCCTATTAACTAGCATAGGCTCTAAGATCCGCTGAGGAGGCCCTCCTCTTGCTTCCACCACCGTCACAGGCATGGCTGGTGGGGATGAGGAGGTGGGCCTTCTTGGTGGTGGCCCCCCAACTTTGGAACACCCTCTCCAGGTCCCACACTGTCCTCCTTCACAGGGATCTGAAAACCTGGATAGTCCAGCAAGTATTTGAGAATGACTTGTCCATAGAAGAAATGCCCTAGGTCACCTAGGTCACCAAATAGTACTCTGTTCAATGTAGTGGGACCCAGTGCTCTGTTCTCTGCACCTCATCCAATTCCCTGGCCCTATGGTACACTGTTTTGCACTCTCCCATGCCTGACCCTTTTATAGCTTGGTCACCCCCATTTTAGTAATTCTGATCATTGATTTTTGTTGAACATTATCTGATGTTTAATTGTGTATTGTTGTATTTTATGATGCTCCTATTTTAGTGGTGTTTTTGATTTAATGGATTACTTTGCTTTTTTGTCTGTCGGACTTTGTCCCATATTATGTATTACATGTAATATTACCTGAGTCCTCCTTCAGGGTGAGAAGGGTGGGGTATAAGTACAGTAAATAATTAATAAATAAATATTAATAATATTGCAATATAATGGTATAGTACAATATAGTAATATATAATACTAATATTGTGATATGCTAATAATTATAATATATTGTATGCACATATAATATTGATCATAATATTGTAATACAATATAATACTAATAATACAATATAATAACATAACAATTATATATTTTATTTTACATGTAATATTACTAATAATATTGCAGTATAGTAGTATAGTACAATATAGTAATTCATATATAATACTAATATTCTGCTATGATAATAATTATAATATATTGTATGTAGATATAATATTGATACAATATTGTAATGCAATATAAATCTAATATTTTATATTACATGTAATATTACTAATAATATTGCAATATAGTGGTATAGTACAATAAAGTAATATACAGCTTCTGCCAACCTAGCAGTTCGAAAACATGTAAATGTGAGTAGTTCAATAGGTGGGAAGGTAACGGCATTCCATGCAGTCTTTCTGCCCAAAGGGCCTTGGAGGTGTCTATGGACAATGCCAGCTCTTCGGCTTAGAAATGGAGATAAGTGCCAACCCCCAGAATTGGACACAACTGAACTTAATATTAGGGGAAAATCTTTACCTTTACCTTAATACTAATATTGTGCTGTGCTAATAATTATATATTGTATGTACATATAATATTGATCATAATATTATTATACAATATAATACGAATAATACACTTTTTTTTTGTCATGTTAAGAGCGACTTGAGAAACTGCAAGTTGCTTCTGGTGTGAGAGAATTGGCTGTCTGCAAGGACATTGCCCAGGGGACGGCCGGATGATTTGATGTTTTTATCATCCTTGTGGGAGGCTTCTCTCATATAATACACTATAATAATATAATATAACAATTATATTTTTTATATTACATGTAATGTTACTAATAATATTGCAGTATAGTGGTGTGTGTGTGTGTATATATATATATATATATATATATATAATACTAATATTGTGCTATGCTAATATATTGTATGTACATATAATATTGATCATAACATTATAATAAAATATAATACTAATATTGTCCTATGCTAATAATAATAATATATTGTATGTACATATAACTTGTAAGCCACTCTGAGTCCCCTTTGAGGGTGGCAGAGTATAAGAATAAAGATATTAACTTAGGCAGCCTGTACAGTTTGGGTTGCTTTATTGGTTTTTGACACATACAGAGATACTATCCTGAAATATTTCAGGAATCTGCAGTGAGGTTCAAATTAACAATATATATTTGAGGTGTCCTAGGAATTCTAGTCCAAGAGATATTTCCAATCTCAGTCTAATAACAAGACGAGCTGGATTTATTTGGGAAATAAAAATGTAAACATTAAGTGGAATACATGTGCTAGTGTCTCATAACCATTTTGCCTGTCTTGTCTCTAAGCAGTGAGGTGGTCCAGATCCTATCCTCAGCTGCCTGCTGGAATGGAAGCTTCTTAGAAAAGAAGTAAGTGGCTTTAAGCCGGTAAATCTCAAATCATTATTTCTCCATATTTTCTAGGATTGTGAATGTTGGTTGAGCCGATGTCAATTACAGAATTCTCTGCTCATTGAGGGCTAGTTAGGTTTGGATTGGCGAGGATGGCCAATTTGATCTGTGGCTTCCTGGCAAAGGAAGGTGGAGGCGGAAAATAAGAAAAGATGGGACCCAGTCCATCAGGAACAACGCCTCCACACATCCTGTTAAATAGGAGTGAATGTTATATTTTTAAAAAATCTCTCAGCTTAGGATCAAATGTGTGTGGAGTGAAGAAAGGACAGTGGCTCAGTCGAGTGTCTTATATAAGGCTTTTGACAGCTGATGCTGGTATTAGAGGAAGCTCCTCCCTGGCTGAACTTACAGGCTGTCAGGACTGATTCTATGCTCAAGGATCACTTGACATGAGGCTCCAGGAGCCAGAGAACGTGAAAGAGCCTTCCTTGCTGCATTGTCTTAAGTTGTTATGGCAATGATAGTTATGCCACTGTATTCTATGTTTAGCTCTTTGTCTATCCAATGAGCTTTCGCAGAAAACTGGGAAAGATATGTGATCAAAGCCCTGCTCCAAGAGTAGATGTGCTGTTGTTGAAGTTAGCCAAGCTAGCTAGGATGTGGCCAGAATTGTCCTAGTGTCTTATGCAGTGTGGGGCTGGTATGGGCAAACAGGTATTGGCAAAGTTCTGCCCTCCAGGTGTTTTGGACTTCAACTGCCACAATTCCTAACAACCAAGAGGGCTGAACTTTGCCTATGCCTGGGTTAGATCCATTCAGTCAATTAATCAATGTTGAACCAAAATATAGGGAAATCCCATTGATTCAGCGATTCTGCTCTGATCAGGACGAAAACTACAGGGTCTTTAAAGGATGTTGTGTAAGGAGGTACCCAGTATCTTCTTATTCTTATAATTTATTTGCATTGTACCATTGATGTGCAGAGTTGTGCTTGGATGAGTTCAAGCAAACTCTTTGTTGGCCTTAAATTATTCTTAGACTTTTGACCAGGGACTCTTGTTCCATTCAGTACAAGTGTCTTTAAGTCAGCTTTGATGTCTGTATCAAATTACTCCCATCATTTCAAGTAGTCCAACGGGCAGCAGCAAGATTTCTCACTGGAGCAAGGTACAGGGAGCAAAAAACTCCCTTGCTATGTTAGTTCCACTGGCTGCCAGTTTGCTACTGTTAGGGATTCCTTTTCTTCAGAAAAGGAAGGGGAGCAGGGAAGTGCTCAAGAATAGGAAGAGGAATCAGATTATTTTTGGTCGTATCAGGAGCGACTTGAGAAACTGCAAGTCGCTTCTGGTGTGAGAGAATTGGCCATCTGCAAGGACGTTGCCCAGGGGATGCCTGGATGATTTGATGTTTTTATCATCCTTGTGGGAGGCTTGTCTGATGTCCCCGCATGAGGAGCTGGAGTTGATAGAGGGAGCTCATCCGCTTCTCCCCAGATTCGAACCTGCGACCTGTCGGTCTTCATTCCTGCGGCACATAGGTTTAACCCACTGCGCCAGCAGGGGCTCCGAGGAATCAGATGATGAGGGCTTGGTAGTGCCCACATTTCTGGAGAGGTGAAAGGAGAGAGAGCACAGGTGGTGTTCATCTAGAATAGCTGCTAGAAACGCTGAGCTAATTGGGAGACACCCTAGCACCTCTTGTGTGAGAAATTCAGGGCTATAAATCACAAGCAGGAGCAGTCAGCTTTCGCTGGTAATAACGACTCTGATGCTGATGTTTTCGCTCCAATTCAAACTACTTCAAGTCCACTTCTGAGGATTTAGTGATCATTGCCCGTTGTCTGATATAAGACCGCTGTTTCTTTTAGGAGTTTATAAGAGACTTTAATTTTGTGTCTGCCTTAAGACTTCCATGCTTTTGTTTGCCTTTTTCAACTGCCTTTGATGATCCTTTGTGTTTGCTGAAAGAAAGCATTTTTCTTTTACTTTCAACATTGTATTAAGGCTTCTTTTTGAAGGGCAAATTAGGACACCTACCAAGCACACTTCAAAGTGCTGGCTTTAGCCTATAAAGCCCTAAACAGTTCCGGCCCAGTTTACCTGTCTGAATGTATCTCTCTCTATGAGCCAGCAAGGAGGTTAAGACCTTCTGGGGAGGCTCTGCTCTCGATCAGTTGGTGTGGTGAGAGAAAGGGCCTTCTCAGTGGCCACCCCTCAGCTATGAAACTCCCTCCTGAGTGAAATTAAATCAGCCCCCTCCCTCCTGACCTTTAGGAAAAGGCTGAAGATGTGGATGTGCGACCAAGCATTCATTGAGTAATCTATCAGTGAAATAAGAAAAGATGGAATAGTGTATTGAAAATTGGAACGGCCGCAGATTACAAAATTGGATTGCATGATTTTAAATAATTGGTTTTAAGGTTTTATTTGTTTTTAATTATTGTTTTATCATATATGCTTTTATTATGTGTGTTTTGGCATTGAATTGTTGCCTCTATATGTAAACCACCTTGGGTCCCCTATGGGGTTGAGAAGGTAGAAATAAAGTAAATAAATACAAAATAAATCATTTATACCCAGACTGTTCCAAGTGCCTTTAGGCTAACTTGAAATGTAAACTTGCTATTTTGTAAGTCAGATGGTGTCCTAGGACTGGAGAGCCAACAATAGCAATGGGGGAGTTTGAACCTGTCATTGTGTTTCAACCTCACTTACCTCACAAAACTATGATGCAGATAAAAACCGGGAGAAGAATCTTATATGTAACTAGCCATCCCCTGCCACAGGTCGCTGTGGCCCACTCTGGTGGTCATGGGGGTTCTGTGTGGGAGGTTTGGCCCAATTCTATCGTTGGTGGGATTCAGAATGCTCTGTGATTGTAGGTGAACTATAAATCCCAACAACTACATTTCCCAAATCTCAAGATTCTATTTTCCCCAAACTCCATCAGTGTTCACATTTGGGCATATTGAGTATTCGTGTAGAGTTTGGTCCAGATCCATCATTGTTTGAGTCTACAGTGCTCTCTGGATGTAGGTGAACTACAACTCCAAAACCAAAGGACACTGCCCACCAAACCCTTCCAGTATTTTCTGTTGGTCATGGGAGAACTGTGTGCCAAGTTTGGTTCAATTCCATCATTGGTGGGGTTGAGAATGCTCTTTGATTGTAGGTGAACTATAAATCCCAGCAACTACAACTCCCAAATGAAAAAATCAATTTTTTGAGTGAAGAACATACATTGGGTTGTTAGGTGTCTTATGTCCAAATTTGGTGTCAATTCGTCCAGTGGTTTTTGAGTTCTGTTAATCCCACAAACGAACATTACATTTTTATTTATATAGATTTTGAGTGTTTTGGAAGAAAAACAAAACTGAAATATAAACACTAAATAAATTATGAATGTGTTGTACCTTAGACACCACTCATTTTTAATCTTTTTTTTTTTTTTTTAGAATAGATGAACATTTTAAAACTAGTCCCAAAATTCCAGGGATCGACTTGGATTCCACCAGAATGATGTTTGATAAACTAATGACATCTCAGCATGCTATCTTGCTTGAACAGGTATGACTCTCAAGGGGTTAGCACTAAAACAACTATCGTTTTCTGCTGTTTGGGAATGATGGGAGTTATAGTCACACATCTGCATGGCACTCAGTTGGGGGAGGCTACAGCAAATCTTTGAAGCCACACCTTCTCAACTGTTGCAAATTAAACTGTCTGCAGGATTGCTATTGGCAAAAATGCATATGTTCTCTGCCCCCGCTGTCTGTGTGTAAAGGGAGAAATGTGTTTCGCCCACAACATTAGTATGTGCCTCCAATATGTGCCTGAAATCTGTCTGCTCAGTTTTCTTGTTGCTATGAAGTTAGATGCTTGAGTTTATAGAAACCAGGCTCCTGCTTGATTATCAAGCAAGCCTGTGTCTTGCTGTGAAAGGTCTTAGATGATAAAATAGATGGTAAAGGTAAAGGTTTCCCCTTGACACAGGCCCGTAGCCAGGATTTCAATTCGGGGGGGGGGGGGGCTGAGTCTGAGTGAAAGAGGGTCTACTGCGACCGTACTTTGGGAAGTCTGACTTGGCCACGGTAGTCCACGCTCTGGTTACATCCCGCCTTGACTACTGCAACGCTCTCTATGTGGGGTTGCCTTTGAAGACGGCCCGGAAGCTCCAATTAGTCCAACGGGCGGCAGCCATGATACTAACAGGAGCGGAGCGCAGGGAGCACACAACTCCTCTGCTGCACCAGCTCCACTGGCTGCCGATTTGCTACCGGGCTCAGTTCAAAGTGCTGGCGCTGGCCTTTAAAGCCCTAAACGGTTCTGGCCCAATCTACCTATCCGAACGTATCTCTGCCTATCAGCCCACCAGGACCCTAAGATCTTCTGGGGAGGCCCTGCTCTCTATCCCGCCTGCTTCACAGGTGCGGCTTGCGGGGACGAGAGACAGGGCCTTTTCTGTGGTGGCCCCTCGGCTTTGGAACGCCCTTCCCATGGAGGTAAGATCAGCCCCCTCGCTGATGGTGTTTCGGAAAAGATTAAAGACCTGGATGTTCGAACAGGCATTTGGTTAATTCGGTACAATGAACTGATGACTAAAACTGGCAATATGGACAATGAAATTGGATTATGATTTTAGTTAAGAGATGCATGGATTATTATTGACGGGTCAATATTGTATATTGTGTATTGTGTATGCTGTTTTTTATGGTTTTAAACTGAATATTGTTGTTGTTGTACTGTTGTAAACCGCATTGAGTCGCCAATTTAGGCTGAGAAACGGCGGTATACAAGCACAGTAATAAATAAATAAATAAATAAATACCCTAGCAAACCTTTTGCATCGTTGCCCCAATACCCCCATGCATATGGGAGATATTGAGTATGGTAATCAGATCATGATATGAATAAACATAACAGTTAAAATAATGCACCAGTAAGGCCTTTTCGCGAACCACCATGAGAATTTCAGGGGGGAGGGGCTGAAGCCCCTCAACCCCCCCCCCCCCCCCCCCCCCCCCCCCCCCCCCCCAAGCTACATGCCTGCCTTGACATTAAGTTTAGTCAAGTCTGACTCTTGGGGTTGGTGCTCATCTCTATTTCTAAGCTGAAGAGCCAGTGTTGTCCGTAGACACCTCCTAGATCATGTGGCCGGCATGACTGCATGGAGCACCATTACCTTCCTGCCGAAGCGGTACCTATTGATCTACTCACATTTGCATGTTTTCAAACTGCTAGATTGGCAGATGCTGGGGCTATCAATGGGAGCTCACCCTGCCCTGTGGATTCAAATCATCAACCTTTCAGTCATCAAGTTCAGCAGCTCAGCGGTTACTGACTTTTAAATTGGAGGGAACTGACTTTTAAATTGGAGTCATACTGACATAGTCCTTCACATGCCTATTTCTTGTTTATGAGCTTTATTTTATTGTTTTGTATTACTGCTGTTGTTGTTTTTTTGCTGATGCATTGTGGGCTTGGCCTCATGTAAGCCGCACCGAGTCCCTTGGGGAGATGGTAGCGGGGTATAAATAAAGTTGTTGTTGTTGTTGTTGTTATTATTATTATTATTATTATTATTATTATTATTATTATGGTTTATCTAACTTGGTTTGTTTTCCTGGCGCCAAAACTGGGTTGAAAAAAACTGTGGTCTGAACCTCATTTTTCTTCTTCTTTTCCCTCTTCTTAGATCTCGAAGAGTTTTGAAAGCTTTTTGATCCCACAGCTGCCCAGCTCCCCACCAGATGTTGAAGCCATGAGAATTTATCTGATTCTGCCAGAATTCCCACCATTTCAAGATTCAAAGAACTATGTCACCTTGACACTTCCGTTGGCAATGGCCATATTGCGCCTGGACAGGAACCCCAGTAAAGTTTTAGGTACAAGATGCTCTTGCCTTTTTTAAAAAGTGTTTCTGCTGTCCTACATGCCTTTAAGAAGGAAATTATTTACACATATCAGCTGTTTCAAATACTTGAACATTTTTCTACCTAGTCTAGAGCATTGACTGTCTGCCAAATCTTTCTCTTAAATCTCTTTGCCAGCATGGGTGGTAAAAACCCTGTCAAAAGGGTGAAGGAAATATACTGCCCAGGGGAACTAAATTTAGTCCTTCTTTACATAGAGATAAAACTCCTTAATAATTGCTTCTTCTTTCCTGTGCTTTTCCACAGCATCAGGAACCCTTGGTAACACAATGGATTAAACCTTTGACAGGACTGCTGACCAGAAATCTCAACAGTTCAGATCAGGGGAGCGGGGGGAGCTCCCATCTGTCAGCTCCAGCTTCTCATGCAGGGACATGAGAGAAACCTCCCACAGGATGGTAAAACATCCATGTGTCCCCTGGGCAATGTCCTTGCAGACAGCCAATTCTCTCACACTGAAGCGATTTGCAGTTTCTTAAATTACTCCTGACATAAAAAAAAAAAAAATCTTGATTAGAATTTGTCTGTAAAATTTGTATATATATGGATTTTTAAAACCAGGAGCCATTACACCCTAACTCAGATGTATTGGCATGTGTAGTAACTGACCTGATATTTTTCAGGGAAGAAGGCAAAGTGTGCTTTGCTTAGCAGATCAGAAAGGAGTGGGGAATATTAAATGCGGGGTTCAGCTGCATCCAGATTTCATTGCATTCATCTTGACAATGTTTCCAATTGTATTACTATTTCTTGACTTTCTAAAAATAAGCCCAGATGCCTTCTTTCTTTTCCTTCTCCACCACAAGTCCCCAGAGAGATCCACCAGTCTCCAAAGCAATCAAGAAAGTTTTGTCAAATTTCCTGAAACTTCTCATTGTCTGTTTAAGGAAATTGTATTTTTCCTTCCTGTGGCTCCTTCTGATGATTCAGTGTACACAAACATCATTTCATACACAAAAATATTTTAAAACACTATATAAAATTACCTTCAGATTATGTGTATATATGGCATATAAATGACTTGGGTCACATCTCTGAGATATCTTATTACGTACATACAGTAGAGTCTTGCTTATCCAACATAAACAGGCCAGCAGAGCATTGGATAAGCGAAAATGTTGGATAATAAGGAGGGATTAAGGAAAAGCCTGTTAACTCAAATTATGTTATGATTTTACAAATTAAGCACCAAAACATCATGTTTTACAACAAATTGACAGTAAAAGCAGTTCAATACACGATAATGTTACGTAGTAATTATTGTATTTACGAATTTCACACCAAAACATTGCAATGTATTGAAACATCTGTGGATCCGGGTGAGAAGCAGACTGCATTGGATAAATCAGAACGTTGGATGAGTGAAGGTCGGATAAGCGAGACTCTACTGTATTTAATATGCTTTGTACTGTAAGTAAGTAAGGTTTATTACGGTCAATGACCAGATCACAACATAGGGCTTCACCACTGGAGTATAGATGGAAACAAAATTGAGCAAGTCCCATGTTTCAGATATCTGGGGGTAGTCCTCCACTCTTCCGGCAGCAGAAAAACACATGGAGTTTATGTGGCTGAGAATGCACAAAGGAGTTTATCTGCCATACTAAAATACCTGAAGTCAAAAGGGGGACACTTTATACCATGCTTTGTACTGTATTTAATTTGTTGGAAGCCTCTTTGGGTCCCTTTCTGGGAGAAAAGCAGAATATAAATAAAAAAATTATTATTATATTATTAATTGCAGATATGCCACAACCTGAGGTCCAAAAAACTTCTGGTTCCAAGTTCTTTGGATATGGAATATGCAAACTGTATAAAATTTCCTTCAATGTGATACTGAAGCTAATAGTATATTTTTTTTCTGTCATCTGCTTAGATAACTGGTGGTCTCAGATATGCCCCGGATACTTCTTGAGGCTGGTGGATCTCTATAAAGGGGCTGTGGTTTACCTCTTGAATGGAAGAAAAACATTATTGATCCCTGTCTTGTACAGTAGTTACATCACAGCTGCACTGAAACTTCTGGAGAAACTTCATAAAGTAAGAAGGCTACTCAGTGCATGCAAGTGTGTGTTGTCCTGCACAATTTTCAAAATTTGTATTTGCTGTCAGGTTGTGGCACAGTCACTTCTCTGGATGGCAGTCCCCAGAATCCCTCAAGCAATATGACTGCTAAATGGGCTAGTTCCTCCAATCTCCCTCCAAGCTTTTTCAAATTTTGTACTGCCATGTCCCTTTCGATGTGGCCGCCTCTCTGTCCTCTTGTCATTTATCTGTTGGATATTCATGTTTGGAGTGAGATTTCTATATGAAGAATCCAATGAGATGCACAGGCAGTTCAGGCAGTCCCTGAGTTACAAACATCCGGCTTATAAACGATTCATAGTTAAGAATGAGGATGAAACAACAGGAAGTGAGAAAAATCTACTCCTCAGAAGGGAGATGCACCCAGGAAAGAGTTATGATGGGGAAAGGTGTCTTCACTGAAGCTTCCCTGTTTCCACAACAACCCAAAATGTTCAAAATCCAATTCTCACAAGGAGAGAGAGGCAAAATCTTCTGAAAAGGCCACAGACAACAAAACTAACACCACAGGGGTGTTAATCCTTCTCAATGCTATCCAAAGTGCATGCCCACATACATGAGCGTGCACACACATATCTGACTTTAAAAAGTACGTGTTCTGATTAAAAACAAATTCAACCTAAGAACAAACCTACAGAATCTATCTTGTTTATAATTTGGGGACTGCCTGTATACTGAGTGCAGTAAGATTCCAAGACCCATATCCACCCATATTATTTATTTATTTATTTATTTATTTATTTATTTATTTATTTATTTATTTACAGTTCTTATATTCCGCCCTTCTCACCCCGCAGGGGACTCAGGGCGGATTACAGTAAACACATATATGGCAAACATTCAATGCCAGTTTGACAAACAACATTTAACAAACAAAGGCTATTTAACTTTTTTTCTGGCCGCCAGGGGAGCTGCTGCTTTTCATTTTTATTTTTCCATCAACGACACCAATGAAGTTCTTCCGCATTCCACATTCCCCGGAGTCTTCTTTCTTTATGGCCTCATAAATTAGTTAAATTTAGCCTCCCACACAAGGTGGTCCCTTATTTTCCTACTTGACAGATGCAACTGTCTTTCGGGTTGCAAAGGTCGACAACGGGCTAGACAATGGCTGGACACCCACTCCAGCCCGGGCTGGCTTCGAACTCATGACCTTTTGGTCAGAGTGATCTTAATGCAGCTGACACTCAGCCAGCTGCGCCACAATCCCGGTGTCCACATATCCCATATCCACAATTTCACTTATTATTGTCCATGGGGAAAGTGGTTTCTCTAGAAAACTGCTAGAATAACTAGGTGATTTTATTATATACATTACCAAAAATTACCAGAGTTGTGTTGAGCATGTTTCTAGTGAAATATCTCTCCAGGAATCACTATATCCTCCAACACAACTCTTTGGCTTGCTGGAGTCAGAAGTAAAGTAATTCAGTGACGTTTTGTTATATTCACAATTTCATGTAACTATGTTCTGTCCAGAAATATATCCCCAACAGATACGGAGGAGCTTATTATATACTTTAATTTTGTAATGTACCTAATAACCTAAGAAGATGTCTTATACTGAATGAGGTTATGAACCCATGAACCCATCCAGTAGGTTTGGCCAACTCTGATTCTCCAGCATTTCAGGTGATATTTTTATAACCTGATGTGGAAACTCCTTGTACTCTCATTCATTCATTCAGGTGAAAATCAGATTTGACACTGATTAAATAAAACGTATTCAGGGTGGTGTGTTGCTGCAATATGGCAAGGCTCAAGCCTTTGTGTATTTAGCTTAATACTCGTAGAAGCCTGCATGCAAATATAACATTCTGTTGCTTCCTTTGCTATACGTTTGTCCTAATTATTAGTAGAGGATGTGTGTTTTTCAGCCATTCCATTTCTATGACTTTGCCTTTCTCTGAACTATAATTTCCTAAGTTTGTGTTTTCACCAAGTATACGTATGGCTTTCCTGCAGAACCGTAACACGAAAATGTTCACTGCCTTCTTCTTTTTCTTTCTTTCTTCAAATCAGGTGAATCAGAAAGCTAGGCATGTAGAATATGACAAGTTTTACATCCCAGAAATTTCCAATCTGGTGGATATTCAGGAAGACTATCTGATGTGGTTCTTACATCAAGCTGGAATGGTAAGGGATTTTATCTAATGAAATAGAGAAAGTAATAGCTGTTGGTTGAGTGGGCAAGGACCCTCCTCATAAATGTACAGCAGAATAACTTATCAGCAGCAGTGTGACCCAGCACCAGTAGCACACACTTTCTGGGGTGGGTGTCCAGACATTCTTTCAGGACTAGTCCGAGATAACATCTTGAGGCCCTAGTCCCATCCCCCAAGTCCCCAGGCCCCTTAGAAAAGAACAAAAACACATAGGCCAATATTAACTCTTCCGTAGGAGGCTTTTCTTTATAGCTTTTCTTTATAGCAAAATAATATGGTTGTACTATTTACAAGAACAAGGTTTTCATAACACAAATATAGTTCTTTATACTTCCTTCTTTGCTTCCACGCTGGGCTTCTTTGTCATCCAGATAAACAGCTTCACTGTCACAGAGTCTCTTCTCACACCGAAGTTGCATTGGAGCTTCACACAGTAGCTTTTTACACACAGCAGTTTTCACACTGGAGCTTCTTCTGACAATGGCCTTCAGCCTGGGTCTTTTCTCACTGAAGCTTCTCACATCAGATCTTCTACTAACACTGAGGCCTAGGTCACATTGAAGTCTTTCTCCCACTGAGGCCTACCTCAGACTGAGGGCTCTCTCAGACTGAGGCCTTTCTCCCACTGAGGCAAATTAACACTGAGGCCTTCTTATACTGAAGCCTACTAACACACTGAGGCCCTTCTTCCACAGAGACCTCTCACAGACTGAGGGCTGCTAACACTGAGGGCTCCTAAGCTACAGGCACACCAGCTTATATTGTACTGCAGCTTTTGCCAAGTCATTGTATCCATTTAACCCTTTCAGTGTTTGACTCACATTTTTGTAATTTAAAATACCTAGTTAATTTTTAATATTTTTGAAAATAGCATGGGGATGCAGCTATGCATTGCGCTGTGCACTTTGTGTCATCCAGATGTTCTGCAGTCTGCTCTCCATGGCAGTCGTCATCATCATCACCGTCATCATCATCATCATCATCATGCCTTTCCCCCAGTTTGGCAGCTTATATCAGTTAAAATAAACATATTAAAAAATTCACAGAGCACCAACTTTAAAAAAAAATCAAAACTTATATGATGGACTCTCTGAATCTGCGGTTTCAGCCAACTGCTTAAGTCACTTGCCATATTATTAAATGGTAGCAATGTGAAAGCAGACACACTGAAGAGTATATGTTTATGTTGCTGCCATTTATTAATAATATGGGGTCATGATCAGCTGCATTTTTTGTTTTCATGTGAGGTCCTGAAACTAAACCTCTGTCATGACAATGACCCACTGTATAGTATATTTCTCCTTGAGATCTTTGTCAGAATATTAGGATCAAAATGAAATTAATGGTGTCTTGATAGGAAACTCACAGGCTTTTTCTGTTTCTCTTTCCTTCTCCACCTGCCTTCCTTGTCCTGTGCAGAAAGTGAGACCACCTATCATGCAGGTAAAAACTCCAGTTGAGCTTGTCAAAGTGGTTTTCAGCAGAAGCTCGAGCTGCCACCACTAAATTGAACTCTTTCTTTCCAGGATGCTGTGACTCTGTGTTCTTATCCATTCATCTTTGATGCACAAGCCAAAACAAAGATGCTGCAGACTGATGCAGAACTACAGATGCAGGTATTTAGCTTTCATGCCTATGCTTTGCATCTCCTGCTTCCCTTGTGTTAAGACTTGGGTGCCATCTTCAGGATATCTCATTATGTACACTGATGCAAATATAGGTATTCCCAAATCTGAAAAATTCAAAATTCTCAACATTTCTGGTCCCAATTGTTTTGGATAAGGGAAACCCAATCTGCAACAGCTAATCTTTTCATCCTTAGGCTGTTATATTTATATTTTCCAGTAGGTGGCAACAGTAGAAAGAATTACAGGTGATTTAGAAGTCGATGGAGTAAACAATACTGTAATACCATTAGCATGAGGAATCACAATTGCTTTTACGTGAAAGCTAAATAATTAGGATAATATTTTGGTGCCATTCTGGAATTTGGAGTAGTGGCACTGAGGTTTTTTTAATTTGTTTTGAGGAATTGCCACCCAAAATAATAATTTTCCCAACTCTACTAGATTCATGCAGACATCTTGATTTAAGGAGCCCCTGGTGGTGCAATGGGTTAAACCCTTGCGCCGACTGAACTGGTTGACCGAAAAGTTGGAGGTTCGAATCTGGGGAGTGGAGTTATCTCTAGCTTCCCATACATGGACACGAGAGAAGCTTCCCACAAGATGGTAAAACATCAAATATACAGGCATCCCCTGGGCAACATCCTTGTAGATGGCCAATTCTCTCACACCAGAAGCAACTTGCACTTCCTTAACTTGCAGGCCCAGTCGCTAGCAATCTTTAGGAGGAGCTTGAAAACGTGGATGTTCCAGTGTGCCTTTCCAGAATAAGGAAACTCCTAGCATTATGTCCCAACGCACTTTATCAGAGATCTAGGATATCTGCATGTCCATCCCCTCCAAACATCCCACCTGTCATGCCCAGCACTTTTTAATTTTCATCTTAATTATTACATTTGGCCCGGCCATTGTTTTTAGCTGCGTCATTGCATGTTGTTAATGTTTATTGCTTGTTTTTGTTTTATTTTGCTGTATTATTGTTGTTGTTGTTTTATTGTTGTATTTGGGCTCGGCCTCATGTAAGCCGCACCGAGTCCTTCAGGAGATGGTAGCGGGGTACAAATAAAGGTTTATTATTATTATTATTAAGTCTCTCTTTACATGAAAAAAAAATCTTGATTTTAAAATTTCTCTGTAAAATTTGCATACATATGGATGGCTTCACTAGCCTCTATGTTCCTATTGGTGGGAGTTGTTTTGCGGCGACAAATGAGCATTCATCTTGACGTGGTCAAACTATTATTAAATTCAAGGAAGAGAAGAAGATACTATTTATTTATCTACTGTATTTCTATCCCACCCTATCTCATCTCCAAGGGGACTCAGAGCGACTTACAACTTGGCACAATTTGATGCCACATCGAAACATAAACATCACAGATTAAATTAAACATTAAATCATTAAACATAAAACAATCACATATAAATATAATTAAAACAGGATTTAAAACAGCAATTAAAACAACCACATAGTCTGTAATCAGAGTCCATGAGCCATTCCAGTTACAGTCACATTGATTTCCAGCTGTCTTTTGCATTGTAGCTAGTCTCTGAACACCTGGTACTTGTTTTCTAAATGCCAGGAGGGAGGAGGCTGATCTCACATCTTACTAGGGGTATACTTGGTTAACAGCTAGTTCTTTAAAGAACTATTTTGAAGAGAGGTGTTTTAGGTTATCCCATCCCCTGTCTATAAAATAAAAGTCGGTGTGTGTGCTTTGTTGATGTTGTCTGTTTTTGTCTGTGTTTGTAGGTGGCCATCAGTGGAGCAAATCTGCAGAATGTTTTCATGCTTCTGACTTTGGAGCCTCTTTTGGCTCGAAGTCCTTTCTTAGTCCTTCACGTCCGTCGCAGCAACCTTGTTGGTGACGCTTTGAGGGAGTTGAGCATCCATTCTGATATTGACTTGAAAAAGCCTCTCAAGGTAAAGCCATGTCTTGTTTCTCACTGATAATACTTTTATTAGTCTGGCCTTCATGTGGACCTAAACCTGTGTGTAGGACAGGGAAGAAGGGGACTTCTGCAACTTGAAAAAGTTAATTTTTTCTTGTGTGTCTTCAAGTTGTTTACAAATTAGGCAGTCCTTTCCAGGATTTTCTTTGCAAGATTTGTTTAGAGGGGGCTTTCTTTTACCTTTTGAAGTGGAGATATTGTGACGTTCCCAAGGCCAGCTTGGACCTCATCTACACTGTTGTTAATAATGCCTTTGTGTATTTAGCTTAATATTCGTTGAAGCCTGTATGCAAATATTGAACTAGATTCTATGACACTCATATCGTGCAGTTCAGTGCAATACAATCTGCATTTTATGAGTTTACACTGACCATATAATGCAGTTCAAAATAAGGAGGAGGGAGACTAAAATGATCAAGGGTCTGAGAACAAGCCCTATGAGGAGTGGCTTAAAGAGCTGGGCATGTTTAGCCTGCAGAAGAGAAGGCTGAGGGTAGACATGATAGCAATGTATAAATATGTGAGGGGAAGTCATAGGAAGGAGGAAGAAAGCTTGTTTTCTTCTGCCCTGGAGACTAGGACACAAAACAGTGGCTTCAAAATTCAGGAAAGGAGATTCCATGTGAACATTAGAAAGAACTTCCTGACTTTGAGAGCTGCTCAGCAGTGGAACTCTCTGCCCTGGAGTGTGGTGGATGCTCCTCCTTTGGAGGCTTTTAAACAGAGGCTGGATGGCTATCTGTCAGGGGTGCTTTGAATGTGAATTTACTGCTTTTTGCCAAGGGGTTGGACTGAATGGCCCATGAGGTCTTTTCCAATTCTATGATTCTGTGTGTAGATGGAGCCTCAGTGGTTTCCACAGCTGAGCAGGGATATGAACCTTGGTCTCCAGAGTTGTAGCCCAAAGCTCAAACCAATCCCTATAAATCCTTAGCTGGTGGCTCTGTTGTTTGGGGAATTTGGATAGTTTTCATCCAAAACACCTAGAAATGAGCTCTTGGCTCATTTCTATTTCCCATTGCAAAATACTCTAAGCACTGTCTGTTGTTCTCTTCTATTATCAAAAAGTGGGTCACAATTTCTAGATTCTCTCCCTATACTTGCTGAGGGCTTCTGAAAGCTGAAAGCCAACAACATATAGGGAAACTACAGATTTGAAAACTACGAAGCTACATTAAGATAACATTGTTTATTCATTGGGGCAGGTGATCTTTGATGGCGAGGAAGCTGTTGATGCTGGCGGAGTCACAAAGGAATTCTTCCTTCTGCTACTAAAAGAGCTCCTGAATCCCATTTATGGGATGTTCACTTTCTACCCTGAATCAAACCTGCTTTGGTTTTCAGACACTGTGAGTATGATTTGGTGTATATGTGATGATGATGATGATAACAATAATACAAAATCCAGCATAGAGATCTCATTTGCTGTGACATACTGTGGTTTTGTGTCAGTAAAATAATAATAACACTTTATTTATATTCTGCCCTATCGCCCCAAGTGGAGTCAGGGCAGATCACAGTACACATACTCGGCAAACATTCAATGCCGTTTGGACAAACAAGGACAGAACTAACAAAAAGGAGACATGCTTGTGTTGTGTTGACATCAGTGCCTTTGCAAGGTTGTGCTCGAAATCCAGCCACAGGGGGGTGCTGTCACTCCATCCTCTATGACGAAGAGCCATCAGGACTTCCTCCTTCTTTTTTGGTCTTTTCCGGTCTTTCTCTTTTTCAGGTCTTTTTCTTTTTATGGTGTTGTAAAATACCTCCCCCACTTGTTTTAGCGGTACCTAATTTGTCTAATTACAGCACAAGCTGTTTTTGAACTGCTTAGGTCAACAGTAAGCTGGGCTTGATACTCAGCAGCTCACGCTGACCCAGGGCTTCGAACTAGCAACCTGTCGGTTGGTAGATGTTATCATTGCTGGTGATTTTACCAGCTGTGCTATACCCCTAGTTACTAGGAAGCTTACTCAGCAACGTAGGTGCAACTTAGAGATGTAGACCCAGGACTGAAGAGAGATATGCAGTTTTACCCTACCTTAGCCTAACTCTTCCAGTTATTTAGGGGTTCTATCATACCCATTTCCAGAATGGCCCATTGTCCAATACATATGGAAAACATGGGGTCAGGGAATCTGTGTCTATACGTATTCTTTTTCTAACACCTTTTCCCCTTTGTGTGTCCAAAGTGTTTTGTAGAGCACAATTGGTTTCATCTAATTGGCATAATTTGTGGCTTGGCGATCTACAACTTCACTGTGGTTGATCTTCACTTTCCGTTGGCTCTCTATAAGAAACTTCTGAATGTGGCGCCTTGCTTAGAAGACTTGAAGGAGCTGTCTCCCATGGAAGGAAGGTAGTCATTTCTAGCTGTGTGTTTTTCTGTCCATTTTACATAATCATTTGCTTCTGCACTTTCAAGAAAATTGTGTGAGAGGAAGAACAAAGTATTATATAACTTTAGACAAGAATTCTGTTCCCCAAAGAGCATTGGTTTTACTTTTGCAAAAGAGGGGTTTATTTATAAACTAGCTTGGGAACCCAGCGGTGCCTGGGTTATTGGAAGAAGGCATTGTTGTTTTGGGATGTTAGGTAATATCACCTAAGTCTGGCCCAGATCCATCATTGGCTGGGTCCAGTGCTGTCTGGATAGGGGTGAACTAGAACTCCTCGATTCCCAGAACAATCACTCCCAAGCCTGTTGGCACAATTGGCCATGTTGGGTCTATGTGCCAAGTTTGGTCCAGATCCATCATTGTTTGGCTTCATAGTGCACTCTGGATATAGATGAACTACAACTTCTATACATCCCTCCAAGATCTCCAATATTTTTTGTTGGTCATGGGGTTCTGTGTGCCAAGTTAGTTCCAGGTCTATGGTTGGTGGAGTTCAGAGTGCTCTTAGATTGCAGGTGAACTATACATCCCAGTATAACTCCTATAAATCATGGTGAATTCTCCCCAAACCCCTCTAGTACAGTAGAGTCTTGCTTATCCAGTCTTCGCTCATCCAGCATTCTGTATTATCCAACACAATCTGCCTCCCACCCGGATCCACAGCTGTTTCAATACATTGCGATGTTTTGGTGCTAAATTCATAAATGCAGTAATTACTACATAATGTTACAGTGTATTGAACTGCTTTTTCTGTCGATTTGTTGTAAAACATTATGTTTTGGTGCTTAATTTGGAACATCATAACGTAATTTGATGTTTAATAGCGAGGTTCTACTGTACATTTGGTTCCAAGTTGGCCATCTCCACTTTTTATTTCTGTACTTGTATACTTATATCTGTACTCAGACTAGATGTATACTATATGTTGTATTTATATTGTCTGTTTTGATAAGGCCAATTGGCTGATCAATAAAAATAGTTTTGTGTAAATAACACAATACCTAAATTGTATATGATGTTTTGGTGTTTAATTTGTAACATCATAATGCAATTTGACATTTAATAGGCTTTCCCTTCATCCCTCCTTATTATCCAACGTTTTCGTGTATCCAACTTTCTGCCAACCTGTTTATGTTGGATAAGCGAGACGCTACTATATGTTCAGTTGCTGATCAATTCCTCTGTTTGCTGTGTGCCATAGAAAAGAATAGGAAAGGGTTCAGGGAGAGGGCAGTGGGTGGGGTCATGCAAATTCCACACCAGTGGAGAGAGAAAGAAACACTGGGATGTCTTTGGTGAAGGACAAACATAAAATCTTGGGTGAAATTGTCCCCTACGATAGCCTTCACTTGCGTGGCGGGCAGAATGGTGTTTGGGGAGGACATTGGCAGGGTCCTTGGACGGGTTTACAGCGCTCACTATAACCCATAGAATACAAAGCAGTGCTACCCAAGGTTTATAAAACTGAATTTTAACATGGAGTCTCACTGGAGGATCTAGGGATTCCTCGAGGGAACATTTTCATTAAATCAGCAAATAATCATATCTGCAAAAGTCAAACCTGCAGATGTGGAGGATTAACTGTGTATTTTCCAATCTTAAGAAGCAAATAATTTATTCTCAGTCCTATCCTATGATACTTTCTTTCAGATATCTGGCAGCTTAAGTATAACTAGTTTCAGTTTAGGTGGGATTTAATAGGCTATTATTTCTTCTGTTCTTCCTGAAATTTGGTTCTGGAAGGATAATTGCATCTCAGATTTTTATCTTCTCTGTTTCTCTTTTCCTTCTACTGTAGGAGTCTTCAGCAACTTTTGGATTATCCCGGGGAAGACGTGGAAGAAACATTTTGCCTCTATTTTACAGTAAGACAAGTTCATTTGTGTTTATGTTCATCTTTCTTTGTGGTTGTACATTAGGACTTGATACTTATCTCACAAGAGCTCTCTGAGGAAGGTGAGAATGAGAGTAAATGGCCCAGCGAGTACAGAGGCTTTGTCTTGGTTTTCAAAGGCCTAGTATAGCACTCTATCCCCGTCTACACTGCCATATAATGAAGTTTAGAGCTGTGTTATGTGGTCATTATAGACTCATATAATGAACTTTGGTGCAGTTAAACTGCATTATATGAGTCTACACAGGCCATGTAGATGAGGCTTCTACAAAACATGGGCAAAATGGAATCTTTGGGGTGTCCTTTTAAGGTGCTAACACAGCCAAATAAATTGGACTTATTTCAAAAAGCGAAAGTCATGTATCTGTATAAGGAGACTCCGGTGGTGCAATGGGTTAAACCCTTGTGCCTGCAGGACTGTTGACCGGCAGTTCAAATCGGGGGAGTGGGTTGAGCTCCCACCTGCGAGCTTTAGCTTCTCACGTGGGGACATGAGACAAACCTCCCACAGGATGGTAAAACATCCTGGCGTCCCCAGGGCAACGTCCTTGCAGATGGCCAATTCTCTCACACTAGATGCGACTTGCAGTTTCTCAAGTCGCTCCTGCTATGAATTTTTTTTAATCTGGGTTTCATTGTTTTCATTATGACTTGGATGCTGCACATATACCTCATTTAGATGCATGCATCACTAATGGCCACAAATATTTTTCTTGTTATTTTATACCTGCTCCTTTCCCTATATCTCTTTAAGCATGAATTTTAAATGCATGCCCCCTTTTAAGCTCTATTTTCTGTAATTTATTATATATTTTATAGAAATACATTTTAATATGTAGCTTTTATAGAAATACATTTTAATGCATGTATCTGAAGTGTTTTTGCAATGTTTATGTGTTTTAATTATTCTGTAACCCACCTCAAGCTATGCATGAAGAGAGGTGGGTAAGAAATAATAATAATAATAATAATAATAATAATAATAATAATAATAATAATCCCATCACACATTAGAAATATATAATGCAATATAATATAATATAATAATAATATAATATAATATAATATAATATACTCCAGCAAAGGATCGCCGCCTTGTCGGGGCGCTGGAGCTTGAGCACCTCAATGATGTCATGAGCGAAA